CAAGAACAAACGGAACCAGAATGAGGAACTAAAGGTGTCTCCTCCCACCAGACCACACCTGACGGTCAAAAACAATCACTTTAAATATTCTGGAGGAACATTGTGGGTTCTCTTACTAACTGTTGTTGTTGTTGTTGTTGTTGTTGTTGTTGTTGTTGTGTGCAGCTACTGGGCGGACCGTCCTCAGGAGGGCGACTGTGGCATCCTGAGCAGCCAGCAGCCTGCAGACAGGAACTGGATCAGAGCCTCCTGTCACGCCTCGTCCTACTTCATCTGTCAGCTGCACGTCTGATCCAGCGTCAGCTCCTCGTCGACGCCTCGCTCGGCTCTGAGAGGAATCCAGATGTTTTTTACTTTCTTACAGCTCCGTGTAGCTTCATCTAACACTGCCCAGCTTCGACCAGCTCTTCTGCTCCACCGGCTCTGATTCAAGCCAAACTTTTGTAAAATGTAGATATTTAAAATGTAATCTGTGGAAGTTTAGCTTCACATGTCAAACACTTTCTGAGATAAACAGCAGGTTTTTTTTTAGGCTGTTTCAACGACAACATCAGAGGAGCTGTTAAAGATAAAAACCTGAAATGTTCTCTGTTGTTTCTCATCATGTCGCTGATTCAGGATCTATCATGTCGGAAAATTGAAATATGAGAAACGTTTGAGCTTCTTCACGACTACCTGGTGATGTTTTCTGAACCACATGTGGCTGCAGGTCACAAGAACACAAAACTAAACACGCAGAAGCTTTTAATGTGAAATATTTGGTCACCAACATGGAAATAAAGTTACTTCAGTTGAGCTTTTATATCTGATTGTAGCGTAAAAACCTAAATATCAGCAGCTGGTCTGATCCAAGTAGAGTTTTGTGGAATATTATAGATTCTGGATCAACGACATGATGAGAAACAACAGAGAACATTTCAGGATTTGATCTTGAACAGCTCCTCAGATGTTTTGGTTCAAGCAGCTGTGAGAAAAACCTGCTGAAGAAAAGCTGATTTCAGACAGTATTTGATAAATGAAGCTCAAATTTCGCAGGTTTCATTTTAAGTGTTTGTATTTTCTGCTAAAGTAGATCAGATGAAACCACCTCCACATTCCTTCTGTTTCACAGACGACGTCCAGCAGGTTTCAAGACGTTTTATTCTCATATAAAAGTGTTCATACAGCTACAGACCACGTCTACGTTCCCTTTATTTCATCTATTTATATATATATAGACGTTTCTGCTACATCTTCTTTACACGGCTATAAAAATAACACACTCTGCTCTAAGGCGTAATACTGCACGAATAATTGCACCGTCCGTCACAGAACCAGTCCTCCGTCAGAACCTTCCGTCTACACGTATTTGATGTCCTGGTCCTCCTCCGGCTCCTCCTGCTCCAGCTCCGGGCCCAGGGCGCTGTGTCGGATCATCTCCCAGCCCGCCAGCGCCCTGCGGTTGTTCGGTCCCCCGGCTTTGGGTCGCAGCTTCGGGCCGTCCTTGGCGGCGTCCGACTTCTCGGCTCCGTCCTTGTCGTCCTCCTTGGAGAAGGCCTTGATGTAGCGCCGCATCTTCTGCATCATCGGGTCGTTCCTGTCCTCCACCCTGCAGAAAGAAACACGACAAGTTATCGTCGGTTCAGCGTCAGACGCAGCTTCTAAAGAGGAAGTTCAACAAATTCAACTAAACAGGATCAAAAACACACAAATCAGGTCAACGTTTTTACACGTCATATCGAAGAGAAGCAGCAAAGCTCATTCCAGCATGATGTACGTCAGTAGTTCACATATCAGAGATCAAACCTGACAAAATATATCTATAAGAACACGACTTGACTCTAATTCATATTAAAGCCGAGACCACAAACTACACAGTGAACTTCCTGGAACAGACACGATGGTTTATGTAAAACAAACGTCATTTTTAAGCTAAAAAACAAAACATTTCTTTAACATCCATCGTCAGAGTCAAATCAAACATCACTATATGAATAGAAAGACAGAAAGGTCCAACGTTCTCAACAAGCATTCTTAGAACTTCTATAATTGAGCCACCTTTAATTGTAAGAACTAATAGAGAACCTAAAACCACTAAAAACATTACTAGGATTTTGCAGAACACTATTAGAACAGAAAAATACTATCTAGGAGGATTAAACTTCTGCTTCAGACCTGGTCTCGGCCTTATTCTGTGTATTTCTGCTCTGTGAGGTTGTTTTCTTGTATTTTTCCTGGTTCCTGCTCCGGGTTCTGCAGCGTTTCTTACCTGAGGTACCAGCGTTCCTTCAGGCCGTAGTTCAGCCCACAGACGCCCAGTCGAGGCCAGAGGCAGCGAGGAAGCCTCCTCTCCAGCATCAGGGTCGTGGCCACCACCTGCAGCACCACAGACACAGCAGACGTCATGCACAAGGATCCATTTCTGTAGCAGCCAGAGTGCTGCAACAATACATGCAGAGTAAAACCAGATGGAAAACAAGATAAAAACCACCAAAATGATGCACAAAGTGACACAAA